GACCAGCTCGCGCGCACCGGGCCTCCTCGAAGGAACGGCCTCCTTCCAGGCCCCGTGGCAGTGCCCACTCGTCCCCACTTCCAGGGGCACCTGGCTGGGTCCCCCCAGCGTGCGTTTCCTGCGTTCGAAGTAACGCAGCCCCCAACTGGCCTTGTTGGCAACTGCCCACTGCACTGCTCAGCCCCACAAGCGCCTGGTGCCAGCACACACACCGCGAGCGCGGTGCACACTCCGCTCGGTGCTGCACTCGGCCGGCTAGTGATGCCCGCCCAGCCCGGGGTCACCTGCGGGCGGAGTCTGATCTCGCTCTGTCTCTCTCTCTCCCTCCCTCCCAGCTGTGGCAGGCTGCTCTAAGCACGCTCAACCCCAACCCCACGGACAGCTGCCCCCTCTACCTGAACTGCGCCACCGTGGCCGCGCTGCCCTCGCGGGTGAGCCGGCACAACAGCCCCTCCGCAGCGCACTTCATCACCAGGCTTGTGCGGACCTGCCTGCCGCCAGGAACGCACCGGTGCATCGTGGTGAGTGGTCCGAGAGGAGGGCTCCTGCCTGCAGGGCTGCCTCCGAGCCCAGCCCGCTGCAGCATGGCCCCGAGCTCAGAGCTGCCGCCACCGGCACGGTCACCCCACCTTTAACACACCGGGAAGCTTGGGCGGAGAGAAGCCATTTCCCCCAGAGCAGTTCTGTAGGCACATCTGAGACTCAGATCCAGACTCGGGTCTACTGTCAGGTTGTGAGACAGTGGTTCCGGGGAAGGCCCCGGGGTGAAGGCTGGTTGGCCTCCTGTGTGCACATCGTATGCAGGGTGGCCTCTGAGCCCTAGCACCTCCTGACTGCAGCTCCCGGGGGCGTGTCCTGCCCCCCGCCCTCATCACCGCTCTCCTCTCTGTGCTGCAGATGGTCTGTGAGCGGGCTGATGCCTTCGCCTCTGCCTGTGCCCTGGCCCGAGCCTTCCCGCTGTTCACCCACCGCTCAGGTGCTTCCAGACGCACAGAGAAGAAGACGGTCACAGTGGAGTTTTTCCTGGTGGGACAAGACAATGGGCCAGTAGAAGTGTCCACTTTGCAAGTGGGTGTCTGGATGTTCAGTGGAGTCTCTGGGCCGCTGGGAGGGAAGTCTGGGGAGTGCTCTCTCCCTTCTTGGGGAGGACGGTTGGGCTGCTGTCCTTGCTGAGGAGGCCTTTGCTAGCCGCTGCGGGCTCCCTCTCCCTCAGGGTGGTCTGTTTTCAGGATGCGGGTTTGTGCCCCTAGTGTTTATGGAGCACCTAAGCAGTGCCGGCTCTTTCATGTTCGAATGCTAGTCGTCCTGTGCACGTACATGTCACATACCCTTTACGGCATACTTTCCCATATGTTATTTCGCCGGAACCTCAGGACAACCCTTTGTGAGCAAGGCCAGGCCGGAAGTGATTTCCAACTCACAAGTCTTGTATGGTTTGAGTGTCAGCTTCCCTCCCCTGTGGTGTGACCATCTCAGATCCCCACCTCCAGTCCCATTCCGGCAACCACACCTGCGCTGTCCTTTCCCCATCTCACCCTTCTGTCTCGGGAAAGCGGTCACTGTCGCTCCGGAGCTCCTGGAGGGCAGAGGCCTGATCTGACGCATGATTTTCCCAGGACTTGGCTCAACTGCCCACTGCCTCGGGGTGCCCCACCCACACCTCCTGCTCTCCTGGACCACTGCAGTGGTCCCTTAACTGGTCCTGCTGCCCCCAGGTCCCTCCCCATTGCCTTACACACGTGCACCAGTGTCTTCCAAGTGCTTGTCAGGTAGCAGGCCCTGCTCTCAGCCGATGTGTGCACACTCACGGGTCAGATCACTGAATTGTCACAACAGGCCTGTGAGGCGGGTCCTGTTGTTATTACCGTTATAGAGCTGAGCAAACCGAGGCTCAGCGACATGAAGTGACTTTCTGGGGCCACTCCAGCAAGGGGTAGAGTGAGTTTTTAATTGCAGCGGCTGTCTGTCTAGCATTGTGAGCACAGGAGGTGCTGATATCCCATATGGCCTTGTCCTCACTGTGGGGACCTCTTCAGCCCCCGTCCACATCCTGGTCTCCTTCAGGTCACTGTAGCCTTGAATGGAATGGCATGCTGTGGTCTCTGCTGGACTTGAGTCTCTTGGACATCTTTGGATTCTAAATCCAGTGTGGCACACAGTAGGTGCTCGAATAAGCATGGATGGAATGAGTAAATGAATGAATGATCCTGTGTGTGTGGTGAAGTGATGAGGTACAAACTCTACCCAGGTCCACATGGCTCTGTGTGTTTTCTGCCCTCGAACCCGCGCCAGCTGCGTGGGAGAGCTTGCTCACCGGAGGTCTGTGAGGCAGCCACCTGGCCTCCTTCGAGACCAGTCTCAGGGCATTGACGCACTTCCCAGACAGCGGCCACAGGCTGCGTCAGAGATGAGCAATGGATTTGTGTGTGTGACGCCCACAGGTGGGGACCTGGTCCTCCCCTGGGAGAGCCCGCTGACAGTCACCGGGACCCCACAGGCACATCTCATATCTGAGCTGTCAAGTCCTGTATCTCTGCCTTTTAGGCTTTGGGGTTTAATTACCTCAGAACAGGCAGAGCTCGCGCAGCAATTGGACAGGGCCTGGGAGGTGGCGGGCTGGCGCTGTCCCTGAGCCTGCCGCCCTGACACCATGGGGCCAGAAAGCCGCAGATGAACTCAGTGCTGTCTGCACCCCCGCTAAACCTGCACAGCTTTTCTCTTTTAATATTGCCGCCTGTCTGAAGCTTGGGGGTGGTTGGGGGGATGGACTGGGGCAGAGACAAAGGAGAGAAGCAAAAGTGAGATGGGAGTTCTCAGCAGAAAGGCCGGGGCGGGGCGGGGTGGGGGTGGGGCAGCCAGTGTCTGGGACGAGTCTGTAGGCCCTGGTGCGCCCCTGCCTGACGTGCCTGTGGTGGCCGGCTTGGGGTGCTGGGTGGAGGATGGGCTGCACAAGGCAGGTCTGCCTGTTTCTTCCCTGCTTCTGTCTCAGAGCAGAATGGCATCAGGTGACCAGGAAAACAAGGGTGGGCTTGGGTCTGCAACACACTCACAAGGGGCTCACGTCAGAAAAATGCCTCCCCGAGGGCCAGCGGGGAGTGCTTTTACTCTGGAAAGATCCAGAGGAGCTTCTGGGGGTGTGGCCTCTGAGCAGTGCCTCGGGATGGCTGGGGTCTTCAAGAGAAGAGAAGGGAGGGTGTATTGGTCAGCTCAGACTGCCATGAGGAAATACCCCAGACGAGGCAGCTTAACCAACGCATCTACCTCTCACAGTTCTGGAGCTGGAAGTCGGAGATCAGGGTGGGTTCTGCTGAGGGCTCCCTCCCTGGCTTTCAGAGGGCCACCTCCTCGTTGTGCCTTACAGGGCAGAGAGCGTGCTTGTAGAGACACTAATCCCATCAAGGGGGCCCACGCTGTTGACCCCCCAGAGGCCTCCTAATACCATCCCAGGGGGTTGAGGCTTTCACAGTGCATCTGAGGGGCTCAGACATGTTCGTAATAGAGGGCAGCACCTCCTGAGAGAGGGTGTGGGGATTGGCAGAGGCCACAGGTGGGAATGCCCAGGACACGTTGCAGGCCAAGCACAAGGGTCACCTGCCACCGTGTGGAGTGCAGTAGCAGGCGAGGAGGCTTGGGAAGAAGGTGGGCCCCTACAATGCCAGGCCGGACGCTAGCCAGGCGGAAGGGTCACTGGCATTCTGTAGATCGCTGGGTGGGTCAGGAGCTGGGGGGTGAGAGCAGGCAGCTTGACTCTTGCTTTCCCCTCCACCTGCCCCTGCTGCTTTGTCAGCAGCCCCGCCACCTCCCCCAGGTGACGAATGCCTCTGACACCTTCCAGTCACCAGGGGAATGGACAGGAGGGACAGCCCCCTTCCACCTGGTCTCAAGGCCCTGGTGACAGCCTCTATTTCTTTCTAGTGCTTGACCAATGCCACGGACGGCGTACGGCTGGCAGCCCGCATTGTGGACACACCCTGCAATGAGATGAACACAGACACCTTCCTTGAGGTGCGTGGCCCTAGGGGTCAGGCCAGGGGGTGGGACCGGGATGGGCTGGGTATGGTAGACCACAGGGAGGGTCACAGGAAAGCTGGGGGCCAGAGAGGGACAGTGCTCATAGTCTCTGCTCTTTGCCTGGGGAAGCCTGGGGCTGCTGCAGACCAAGACCTACTGTCCACCCAGCTCTCAGGGGCCAGCAGCCTCAGCCGAGGGGGTGGGGGGACAGAGCCTCTTTCGAAGGCCCCTCTGCAGGACTCCAGCCAGGAGCTACAGGAAATTGCAGAGTTTGGAGGGCCAGCCTTCTCTCCTGGGTTTAATCACACTCAAAGCAAGAGACTCAGAGCCGCTGGCTTCCAAGCCTGGTTCCTCCCCCACCGTGCAGCCATCAGCTAGTCCTTGGCCCAAAGCCTCGGCCTCGCCTTGAGTTAAGCTGTCTTCACGTGTCTTTGTGTTGTTGTTTTTTCCACGAACATATCCAGGAGATTAAGAAAGTTGGAAAAGATCTGGGGATCGCCCCAACCATCATCCGGGACGAGGAGCTGAAGACCAGAGGGTTTGGAGGTGGGTGGGGGCTGGTCCTCGCCGGACTGGTCCTCAGGGAGTGCTCCGGGGCACTTGGCTGGCAGAGTGGCAGTGGGCACGTGGTGTGTCGTCCCGAGCTTCACCCTGAAAGAAACCGGCCTGTGTCCAACCCCAAGACCAGACCCTGGGAAGCAGACTGTCACTGGGGAGAAGGAGGCAGTGGTTCAGGTTCTGATTCAGATTCTGGAAGCCGTAGGGTCCAAGGCCTCCCCGCCTGCTCCCTCTCCGGCCTCCTCACGTGTTACTGTCCTGGTCCTCGGGCCAGCTCATCAGGGCCTTTCTGTTCCTCGAATACACACAGTCACGTCCGCACCAGGGCCTTGTCCTACCGACTCCTGTATCTAGGATATGTTTTCCCAAGACGCTCTCAGGGCAGGACTGCCCTACCCTGCACACCTCAGCTCAAAGCCACCTCCTCAGAGAGACCTCCCTGAGGACTAGGCCCACCCTCTCCCGCTGCCCGGCCCCGGCGGTGCAGTGATGACCAGGACACGGTGCTTTCAGACTGGCTGGGGAGGCTCACTATTTGCTCTCCATGTTCCCAGGACAGATTACCCCAGAAGGTAGTGGAGAAAGGGATGCTGCATGTCTCACAGCTCTGGGGGGGACGGGGGACGGGGGGCGGGAGAGAATCTGGCCAGGGTCTCTCCCAGGCTGCCACCAAGGTATGGACTGGGGCAGCTGTCATTTGAAAGCTTGACTGGGGCTGGGCTTGTGCTCCCAGCAGGGCACACTCATGGCTCTGCCAGCAGGCCTCGGGCTCCCTGGCTGCTCCTTTCCACGCCCTCTCCTCAGGAGGCACAGCCAGTAGCTTCTTCCCTCAGGGCAAGGTCTCTTTGTAACCTAATCTCGGAGGTGGTGTCTCAGCATCACCTCCAAGAAGAAGTGAGACACAGGATCTTGCCCACACTTAGGGAGGAGGTCATCTTAGAGGCGCCAATTACAAGTGGAGGGAGAGGCCACTCCCGTAGGGGAAAGCTTCACAGAGGAGGGGTCCTTTGCAGTGGGTCTTGCAGGGTGAGTAGGAGTTTGTCAGGCAGCCATTATTGGCTCTTGTCCTGGTTGCTGTGATCCTTCAGTTCAGTTACTTGGGGCCCCACAGCAGGCATGATTTTCTGTAGCAGATGGGGCATAAACTGAACAGTGAGGCAGTAGTTGGAGTGAGCTTGGAAAGGGTGGTGTGGTGTGCTGAGTGCATGGAGGGTTCAGGGAAGGGAGAGCAAGCGTGGGCTGGAGCAACCTTGAGGCATTGTCCAAAAATCATTTCATTCTGCAATCCTGTTCATTTCTTTCTGGGAACGATACAATATTTTTTTCTCAGCGGGTTTTCTTGCCTAACAATGCTTCGCATAGAATTTGTTTGCAGTCCAGAGCTTTGGAACTAATTTGCATTCCTCATCCCCCGCTGGCCAGGGGCAGGAAAGGGGGCAGGGAGCTCAGCGTGGACAGCACAGCTCTCCAGGAGCAATACCCCAGAGCCTGAGGATACTTCCTGTGGGGGAACTGATGTTTCTTGGGGGTGGGGGGGGCTGCTGGGTCTCCTCTGCTCAGTTCAACCTGAGTCTGACTGCCCCTCCCTGTGCTTCCCGTAGGAATCTATGGTGTTGGCAAAGCCGCCCTCCACCCGCCAGCTCTGGCCGTCCTCAGCCACACCCCCGACGGAGCCACCCAGACCATTGCCTGGGTGGGCAAGGGGATCGTCTACGACACCGGGGGTCTCAGCATCAAAGGGAAGGTGAGGTGCTGGCCGCTCAGGCAGTCCCGGGTGCGGAAATCTAGGGGGTGCACGGCTCTCAAGTGTTGGAGGAAGATGGCCAGGAGCTTGGCGTTGGGTGCACCTCTGGGGAGCTGGGTTCGGGAAGGGAGATAGTGGATCCAGTTCTCCTTCTGAGAGGGATAGTTACGTGCCCCACTTCAAACAGGGGTCTGGAAACAGAAAGTCTGGATAGGATCCAGAAACAAGCTGCAGAAGTGATTAAAGGGTGGGTCAGGAGAACTGGGGAGGCCGCGTGCAAGGAATCAGGCGTCTCTGTTCTGCGTGAAGATGAATGAGCAGGTTTCCAGGGACCGAATGCTCAGGGGTGGTCTGTACAGAAAGCACAGCGCTAGGTGAAGCCAGGGGGATGTGGGCCCAGAGGCAAGCCCCCTGGGGTGTGGCTACGAGGCTGAGGTCTCAGCAGTCACGTCTGTGGGCGGCCTTTGGAGTTGGCTGTCTCGGGGATGGATGCATGTGGGATGTCAATCTGTGCCCGTGTCCGTCGGCCTCTGAGAGGCCTGCCTTCCTCCACACTCAGCTGGGCACAGGAAGAGCCAGCCACCTTCACCGGTCACCCCACACACTGCACCAGGCCTGGGCCGGGCTCTAAGGGACAAAGACTAGGGAGGGACTCGGAAAGAGCAGACATGTGACATGTATGCAGAAGGAAGTCTGAAAGGAGGAGAAGCAACCATCCCAGAGAGAAAGCTTTAGAAGGGAGAGGACAAGTGAGCTCATACAGAGCAGACACTGAAAACTGGCTGCCCGCGTGCCTCACAGATGTGTCCTGTTGGCCCAAATGGTGTTTTAACATTTGAATTAGTTACCAGCTTTTAAAAACAGGAAGAATTCTCCCAAAAGACTGGGTTTCTGACCTTTTGTAACTCAGAAGGTCCGGCCATGCCTGTCCTGCGTCCCCCCTGGCGCCCTTGGCCGCAGCTCAGTGGCGGCCGACACCATGGATATAGCTTATACCCTGCAGTTTGCCACAAGCCCCATCACTCCCTGCCGCCTCTCAGACATTGAACCCCAGTGTCAGTTGCTACTTAGGGTAGGCATTGTGCTACTGGTTTTTGTACTTGTAGTCTGTCTAGTATTTGGTTCCTACAGTGGATGATCTGTTTGTTTAGTTTTGTGTTTGATTTATAACACTCTCCCTTCTTCAAACAACAAAATTATTTTCAGGACTAATCAGGAAATGAAACTAATTATAATAAAGGTTTTTAAAAAGCACACACCAATAGTGAATTAACCGACAGTGAATTCTCCTTTATTGAATTCCATACATATTTTCATGCCAGTAAAAACTCTTAAAATAAATATTACAATACAAATGAACAAAACAGTAATGGATTAACACTTTTAAATAGAATTAATGTAATCTGTATTTTTTATTTTCTTTTTATGTATTGGTTAGAGAGAGGGAGAGAGAGAAACATCCATTTGTTGTTCCACCTATTTATGCATTCATTGGTTGCTTCTTGTATGTGCCCTGGCTAAAGATCAAACCCCCAACCTTGGTGTATTGGGATGACACTCCAACCAACTGAGCTACCAGCCAATGCATAATTCTTTAAAAAAAAAAAATTTATTGATTTTTTACAGAGAGGAAGGGAGAGGGATAGAGAGTTAGAAACATCGATGAGAGAGAAACATCGATCAGCTGCCTCCTGCACACCCCCCACTGGGGATGTGCCCGCAACCAAGGTACATGCCCCTGACTGGAATCAAACCCGGGACCCCTCAGTCCACAGGCCGACGCTCTATCCACTGAGCCAAACCGGCCAGGGCCATAATTCTTTTAATAGAAAAAAATGTATGCCTCCATATTGGTTGTGTTAGTAGATGTCAGCTATAGTTTTGTTCTCAGGCATTGGCGTCTGCAGATCTGTCAATGACTTAATCAGAAAAGATCTCCACATTTTCACAATCACTAGATAGACAAAGGCACCAGATTTGTCAGTCTGTCTTCACTCATGGCCCATAAAAACACTCTTCATTTTAATTTTGAGGAGTTTCTGTGACATGAAGCAACACACACAAATACTCAGGAACAGTCTTTAGCATAAGTATCTCTTGATGAAGACTGCTAAAATCTCTATTACCCAAGAAACTCCAGAAATTGCTATACTGTCCATGTGTTCAGTTCTTTGAGATTGATTCTAGCAGCTTTCAAATATCCGTGGAGTAAGAACGTTTCAAACACAACTCCACGCATTCACCTGGACTGAGAGGCGAGGAGACGTGAGCTCATGGCAGCCTCGGGTTTACTGTGAGTCCACGTTTGCAGGGAGGAGCACATGGCACCGCGGGCACCGTGGACACTGACACGGAAGCCAGCCCGAGCCATTCTGACCGCTGGGAATGGTCCTCAGAGTGGAGGCGCGGCCCTGGGGCTGTGCGTGTGGGGCCAGCTGTGAAGCCAGCAGTTATTACCATCCATTAGAATAATGTTTCTAAAAGGATAAGTAATTAAAATAGGCAATTTGAAGCTTTTATTTAGAAGATAAGGACTCACTTTTACCAGCTACAGGTTTTTTGGGGAGGAAGAATTTATCACTGATGACAACAGGCAAACTGATTTTTAGTCAGTGTATTACTGCTCTTAAGTTCTCCCCAGACAATGAGCCTCTCTAGTCTTCTGTTGCCGGCCACCCCCTCCCTCCCACCCTTGCCCCAGAGGCAGCTGAGTGCTGGCCGGTAGAATTGTGGGGTGGTTTCTCCTGGGATCAGAGGCTTCTTTTTGATGTTGGCTTGTTGGAGGGTCAGAGTGAGAAGCGGCTTCCTATGAATTAGTCATTTTGCTGGTGGCACCAGCTCCCCATTTAGCAGGAACACTCATAGCTCCACTTCCAAAGTTTCAAAGACAAATCAGGATCAGCATGAACTAGCAGGTGTCAAAGACGTTAGTCTCAGGACCCCTTACACTCTTAAAAATATGGATCCAAAAAGGTTTTGTGTATAAGGTTGATGTCTGTTGATATTTCCCCTACAAGAAATTAAAACAGGGAAATTTTAAAGATATATTTACTAATTCATTTAAACCCAAAGAGGCCCACACTAAGACACATCATAATTAAAATGCCAAGGGTTAAAGACAAAGAATCTTACAAACATCAAGAGAAAAGTAGCTAGTTACCTACAAGGGAATGTCCATACAACTGTCAGTTAATTTCTCAACAAAAACTCTGCAGGCCAGAAAGGAGTGGCAAAGAAATATTCAAAGTGATGAAAAGCAAGGACCTACAACCAAGATTACTCTACCCAACAAAGCTATCATTTAGAATTGAAGGTCAGATAAAGAGCTTTGCAGACAAGAAAAAGCTAAAGGAGTTCATCACCACCGAACCTATATTACATGAAATGTTGAAGGGTATTCTTTAAGAAGAGGGAGAAGAAGAAAAAAATTAAAAATACGAACAATAAAATGGCAATAAATACTATCTATCAACAATTGAATCTAAAAATCAAAATAAATGAACAAGAAATCTAATGAACAAAAGAAACTGATGAATAAAGTAGAATCAGAAGCATGGAAACATGGAACAGACTGACGAATCTCAGAAGGAAGGGTGGTGGGAAGAGACTGATCAAAGATCTTATATGCATAGATGCATTACCTATGGACACAGACTATAGGGTGGTGAAGGCTTGGGGTGGGGTGGGAACAGGTTGGAGAGGGGTTATGGGATAAAAAGGGGGCATCTGTAATACTCTCAACAGTAAAGGTTTTTAAGAAATGAACATAATATAAACCCATTTTAAACCTGCACGTTAACGTAAATGTTATAAAAGAACTATTTTCCAAAGTGGAAAACAGTGAGGAGAGTGGCATGTTACATTTCTGCGAATCTCTTCAGTGCTCACCTTCATAGAAGATACGTGTGGCCATGTGTCTGCTGCATTTAGTGTATCGTGATATGTTGTTTCAGTCAAATGTCAAAAGAAAGTTTGGTTTCACTCACTTCATAGTTGGAAAGGGAGAAGTAGGGTAGTACAATTCGAGGAACTGGGGCCGTTCGTCTTGCTATTACACCAAAACTCTCCAAGCAGTGGCTCCCAAAGGCTCACTCTGATGCGGAACCTGAAACAATGTCAGTGAACGTTTATGCTGTTCCATTAGAATTGAGTGGTCCAGCTTGGACTTTGCCTGATTCTGTAATGTCGCGCCTGGGTCATTGGAAGACGTCGTTTGTAGAATTATGCAGACTTTTAAAGCTTGACACCTTCCATTAAATCACATTTCTTAATATCACCATTCGTCTCATTGAAAAAGTCATTGAGTATTCGGAAGCCTGAGGCAGATACAAGTTTTCCAAAATTCTGATTTTTTTTTCTTAAAAGCTCAAATTTTACCATTAGCAACAAATAACAATGGAACCGTTTTCGTGGAAGTAAGAGGCTTGCTTTGTTCATTTTTGAGGAAATATCTGCCAGACACCTACGTGTGAATAACCACCGTGTGTCAGCTGTTCTCTCAAGGAAGAAGGGTGCTGTTGAGAACAGAAGCCAGACGAAGTGGGAACTCCAGGCTGTGTCCGGCCTCAGGATGGAGGCGCATCGCTGAGACTGTGCGTGGGGCCAGCCGTGAAGCCGGCAGCCATAAACCTGAGCCCTCCGGTGCTCTGCGAGTACCTTCATTCCCTCACACCGAATATGGAAAGTGGCTGCATCAGTGCTTGAGATGTTTTCAAGTTAATAACTTCACTGCTTCAGCAAGGAAACTCAAGTGAAATGGGCAGCGCTTTCCTTTCCTGGAGGCTGGAAACGCGGCCGGGCACCGGCAGCTGGGTGCCATGCCTTGCTCAGTGCCACCTGCAGCCCACTTCTCACTTGCGGGCCATAGATACAAGCGTCAGCCAGTGCAAAACGGAAATGCCACCGTCGTGTCAAGATGGGGACCGTTTCTTTTATAAAAGTAGGAACGGAGTACGGGGGTGCTGCAAAGCAAACACATGAGTATTTCTACCCCTGTGGTT